TGGAGAGCGGTGCGGCTGAGGCGGGGGTGCGGAGGCGGGTGCGGCGGCGGCAGCAGCGCTCGCTGAGTGTTTCCCTCTCTTGTCGCGTGCAGAGTATTACCCAAACTGCGAAGTGGTGTTCATGGGCATGGCCAACATCCACTCCATCCGCAACAGCTTCCAGTACCTGCGTGCTGTCTGCAGCCAGGTGCCGGACCCCAGCAAGTAAGTGACTTCTCTCTAGCGGAGTCTGACGCTGTATCTGTTAATGACTCAGCGTTTTTTTTCCTCCCTTTTGCTTTATCCTGTCCCAGGTTTCTACTTCAGAAAACAGAGGGATAGGAAAGTGCTCACAGTGCTCATAGGCAGCTGGTTTTGGCCGCTGGTAATCCAGAAGGGATTGCAGCACTGCCTCGGTGTCGTTTGGCTGCGTGTGTCCTCTGAGGGTTTCTAAAATGCAGCTGCATCTGGGAAAAAATGAAATTGGGGGTTGGATTCCTTGCACTTTTTCCCAGGCTGGCTGGCTCCTCTTGAGCATGTTTTAGAAAGCTCACAGTGCTCATAGGCAGCTGGTTTTGGCCGCTGGTAATCCAGAAGGGATTGCAGCACTGCCTCGGTGTCGTTTGGCTGCGTGTGTCCTCTGAGGGTTTCTAAAATGCAGCTGCATCTGGGAAAAACTGAAATTGGGGGTTGGATTCCTTGCACTTTTTCCCAGGCTGGCTGGCTCCTCTTGAGCATGTTTTAGAAAATGCTTATTTTCACTGAGGACTCTAAAAAGACTGAGGTTAAAATATATGTTTTGTTTTGGTTTGTTTTCCACGGGAGAGCTAAGCAGCCATTTTCTTGCCTTTTGCGCTCCTTCTAGCTGGCTTTCAGCCCTGGAGAGAAGCAAGTGGCTGCAGCACCTCTCTGTCATGCTGAAGGCAGCGGTGCTGGTCTCCAGTGCGGTTGACAGAGAAGGGCGTCCGGTGCTGGTTCATTGCTCCGACGGCTGGGACAGGACCCCGCAGATCGTAGCGCTGGCAAAGATTCTCCTGGACCCTTACTACAGGACCATGGAGGTAGGAGCTGTGCTACGCTGCTGGTTCGTGTCCGTTCGAAGGCAGCTTTGGTCTCGGGGTCTGCGGAGGAAGGAGCAGGGTCGCGTTTGGCAATGGGTTTGGTGGCGTTTCAGAGCTGCTGCTGTGGGTGTTGGGTTTTTCCATGTTCTCCTGGTGTGTTTGGTGAGCTGTACCCGACTCCTCTGCCCAGCTTGGCGAGGTACTGTGGTGAATAACCTGTTGGGTTCAAGGTTCAGCTGATTCCCTGCTCTTAATCGTGCCTGTTCTCCAGGCTGTTTGTTGTATAGAAACAACAGCCGTTCGTTTGTCTGGCAGCCTCTGACACTCGGGTAGCTTTGCTCCCACCCCATGCGCCCGTGGAGGCTCCTCTCCAGCCCTCCCGAAGTCCTGTGCCCGCCTGGCACTGCTGGCCGATGGGGCTTGCCTTGGCCTGCTGCGTGCCTCCAGCAGAGCGTCTGCAGCGAGGTTGGTTTTCTTTGCTTTTCTTCACAGGGCTTCCAGGTGCTTGTTGAATCAGATTGGCTGGATTTTGGTCACAAGTTTGGTGATCGCTGTGGTCACCAGGAGAAGGTCGAAGATCAGAACGAGCAGTGCCCAGTTTTTCTCCAGTGGCTGGACGCTGTTCATCAGCTTCTGAAGCAGTTTCCTTGCCTCTTTGAATTTAACGAAGCTTTTCTGGTAAGAAATATGCGTGGAAACATCTATTTATCCGCTTGCCAGATGTGAGCAGAGGCAGGGGGAGGCCATGATATTTTACAGTGTTGCAGTTGAAAGAAAACAAGAATTGAATTCTATAAAAACAGCGAAGTGTCTGGGTAGCATTTGGGCTCTCTGCTGGCGTCCCTGGCACACCTTTGCTCTCTGGGTCCAGCCCTGCCCTTCGGTCGCGGTCTTTTGAGCTGGTTCTGTGCATGTGAGGCTTTTCCCAGCCTCCGTTTAGCTGCTTGTGATCTCCTCCTCCTCCTCCCAGAGGGTACTGCAGGCTCAGAGGACCTGGCAGCCTGCACAGCGATGAAGGGTTTGTATTCTCTGGTTTCTTCGAATCGCTGCTTCTCCGGGTCCCTTTCTAGCCCAGTGAATTCAGATACCGTCAGACGCACGGTTC